AAATAAATCCCGGCAAGGGAACATCATCAATAACCTCAACATCCCGGCAAGGGAGATAACGAATAAATCAACAATATCCCGACAAGGGCGACAACATAATGATCTCTTATCTTTCTCACTTTTATTTCACAATTCACCTCACAACTCGATCCAATGCTCTAGAGGTTCAATTATCACTTATGCTTTCACAATTCGTTACACAACTTGAGCCAATGCTCCTCAATGTTCATAGGTCACAATTTCTTCCACAAACTTTACACAACAAGTAGAAACCATTACCAAGGCATGAAAGATACAACGAAGTCATGATAATCACAATATAAGACTCACGGTCATGCTAGACACCAACGTATAGATACTCGTCACCATACCTATACGTCGTACTCAACAATTAGCACATAGCAAATAGGACTCAACTCCTAATCCCTCAAGCTAAGGTTAGACCAAACACTTACCTCGATGCCACGAACACAATTCACGATTCAATTATAGCTTTACCCCTTGATTCCACCACCAATTTGCTCGTATCTAGTCACAAGTTACTTAATTACATCAATAAACGCTAAATGAATCAGTTTGAATGCATGAAAATGAATTTTCCAAAGTTTTACCCAAAAAATCAAAAATCGCCCCCGGCCCACATGGTCAAAACCCGAGTTCGAACCAAAACACGTTTACCCATTCCTCCACGAATCCAAATATATAATTTATTTTGAAATCAGACCTCAAATTGAGGTCCAAATCCCTAATTTTTGAAAAACCTAGGTTCTACCCAAAACACCCAATTTCCCCCATGGAAATCATTGATTTTGAATGGAAATCATGTGAAAAGATGTTAATGATTGAAGAAAACGAGTTATAAATCACTTACCAATGTTTTGGAGAAGAAAGGTTATTTGAAAAATTGCCTCTTATATTTTTGGGTTTTGAAAAATGAAAAATAACTGAAAATCCCGTCTTAATATACTACTCTCAGATGCCCTGTGTGGACCACACAAAATCAACTGCGGCTGCACAACCACCAGTGAACCTGTGCAGATTGCACAAAATCAACTGCGGCCGCACAGTCACCAGTGAACCTGTGCGGACCGCACAAGATCCACTACGGCCGCACAACCACCAGTTCGGACCGCACATCCACTACGGTTGCACTTCTCTGAACCTCCAATAACCATGTTTTAAGCCTAAGACACCCCGTAACCCACCCGAAACTCACTCGAGCCCTCGGGACTCCAAACCAAATGTGCATACTAACTCAAAAACATCATATGGACCTATTCGTGCATTCACATCATCAAAATAACATGTAAAATCATGAATTAAACCTCAAAACTCAACATTTTCATCAAGAACTCTCAAAGTTCATAACTCTTCAATCAGAAGTCCAACTCACGTCAAATAAACTCCGTTTTTCACCAAATTTCACAGTTATCTTTCAAATACTATAACAAATTTGTACAGGGATCTGGAACCAAAATACGGGCCCAATAACAGTGGTTTCAAATATTAATTCTTTTCTTTATTTCTTAGATAATTCAGTAAAATAATTTCTTTCAAAAATTGATTTCTAAGGCTTGGGACCTTGGAATTCATTTCCGGGCATACATCCAAGTCCCATATTTTACTGCGGACCTTCCGGGGTAGTCGGAACACGGATATGGGCCCGTTTGCTCAAAATGTTGACCAAAATCAACCATAATCAAATTTTAACTCTAAAATTTCTCTTTCTCATATTTTCACATAGAAGGCTTTTCGGATATAGGTCCGGACCATGTACGCAAATCAAGGTGAGGTAAAAGGGAGGTTTTTAGGCCTCGGAAACTGAATTCACTTGCAACACAAAAGGTCATCACACATGTGATAAGTGCTAAAATTGCAAGTGGTGACTTGAAAAATACACATGTATTTATTCCCAAAATACCTTTGTTGTCTTCACAAGATGAAAACTTTCCTATTCCTTTCAAAAGAACACAATTTTCTATTATATTATGTTTTGCTATGACAATAAATAAAGCTCAAGGTTAGACATTAGATTTTGTTGGAATTTATTTACGAGAGCCTATTTTTTCCCACGGTCAGCTATATGTTGCTTTATCACGAGCAAAAAACTCAAGTTCCGTGAAATTATTGATTCGGCCACCAACAACTGATAGCAACGATGATCATACAACACACAATGTGTGACAATCCGGCTGGTCGTCTTAAGAATTAACGCCCTAATCCCCTATTAACTGCTTTTCCCAAGTTTATTTCTGCTAATGTGATTTGCCGGGATGTTCGGTTTTGAGTTTCAGAGAGTTTTGGGATACTTAGTCCCTAAATGAGAGCTTAAGTGTTGGAAAGTTGATCGTAGTTAGAACAGTGTGAAGACGACCTCAGAATGGAAATCTGATGGTTCCGTTAGCTCCGTTAGGTGATTTTGGGGTTAGGAGCGTATTCGGATTGTGTTTTGGAGGTCCGTAGCTAATTTAGGCTTGAAATGCCAAAAGTTGAATTTTGGAAGTTTTCGGTTCGATAGTGAGATTTTGATTCGAGGGTTCGAATGGAATTCTGGAAGTTGTAGTAGTTCCGTTGTGTCATTCGGGATATGTGTGCGAAATTTCAGGTCATTCGGACGAGGTTTGATAGACTTTTTGATCGAAAGCATATTTTGAGAAATTTGGAGTTCTTAGGCTTAAATCCATAGTTAATTCGAGGTTTCGATGTTGTTTTAGGTGTTTTAAGGATTGGTACAAGTTTGAATGAGGTATTACGTGATGTTGGTGCTTTTGGTTGAGGTCCCGGGGGCCTCAGGGTGATTTCGGATGGTTGTCAGAAAGGTTGAAGAAGTGTTGCAGCAGCTATAGCATTGCTGCTTCTGGTATTTTCACATCTGCGGCTTGGGGACCGCAGATGTGGCGCCGCAGAAGCGGCTAAAGGGCTGCAGAAGCGGCTTTGGGTCATTCCTTCAGAAGCTGCAGAAGCGGTGTGAGGCTCGCAGAAGCGGAACCGCAGGAGCGGTTAGAGGTCCACAGATGCAGAAGTTGGTCACTTAAGGGAAAGTCGCAGATGCGACACTTGTTCCGCAGAAGCGGGACCGCAGATGCGGTCCCAGGGCCGCAAATGCGGAAACTGCTGTGTATTATTTTAAAAGGGGTTCCGCGACTTGGGAGTTTATTTCCACCATTTCTAATCGTTTTTGAAGCTTTTGATAGTGATTTTTGAGGAAAACAAAGGGGAATCGCTTGGAGGTAACATCCTTGGCTTCATAACTCATTTTTATGTGATTATTGATCTAATTAGTGGTGAGAAATTTAGGAAAAATGGGTAATTAGGGCTTGAGTTTTAGAGGCCTTTAAATGAGGATTTGAGGGGCCATTTGGACTCCAATTTTAGTGTTCTTGTTATGAATAGATTCGTGAGAGTACGAGGTTTCTTAAAATATAAATTTCACCCGATTCCGAGACGTGGGTTCGAGGGGCATTTTGGTCATTTTACATAATTTCGCATATTAGCTTAGAATTTAATTGTAGAATTAGTTGCTCGAAGTGTTATTTATATTATGAAATTAAATTGAATAGATTTGGGTCATTCGGAGTTGAGTACTCATGGCAAGAACGTGGTTTCAGGTTGATTTTGAGCCGGTTCGAGGTAAGTGGCTTGTCTAACCTTGTGTAGGGGACCTTCCCCTTAGGATATGATATATTTGGTAATTAAAATGCCTTGTACGTGAGGTGACGAGCGTGTACTTGAGCTAATTGTTGAAAATCCGATTTTTCCTTAAGTATTTCAGTTGAGTTCTTTTTCCTGTTTTATTCTACTTGTGAACTTAGCATGTTGCTAGTTTAGAGAAGCATGTTTAGTTGACCTAATTGCCTATTTGCTTAAACTACTTTAATTGCATTATGTGGAGTATGTTAGGCTAGAATTAACTATTTACTTGGTACAAAATTTAGCTTAATTGGGTATTCTTGTGTTGCTGCTGTGTGCTTTACTTTGGGACTACGGAACGGCATCCCGGGAGATCCCTTGTACGTATTTATGATCTGGTTGCTGCTGTGTGTTTTACTTTGGGACTACGGGACGACATCCCAGGAGATCCTCTGTACGTATTTATGATCTGGTTGCCTCTGTGTATTTTACTTTGGGACTTCGGGACGGCATACCAGGAGATCCCCTTTACGTATTTGTGATCTGGTTGTTGCTGTGTGTTTTACTTTGGGACTACGGGACGGCATCCTAGGATATCCCCTGTACGTAGTTATGATTTGGACTGAGGTGCAGGATACCAAGAGATCCCTGTCACATATATTGAGGATACCAAGAGATCCTCGGGATACCAAGAGATCCCTAGCATATATTGAGGATACCAAGAGATCCTCGGGATACCAAGAGATCCCTAGCATTTATTGAGGATACCAAGGGATCCTCGGGATACCAAGAGATCCCTAGCATTATTGAGTATACCAAGAGATCCTCGGGATACCAAGAGATCCCTAGCATATATTGAGGATACCAAGAGATCCTCGGGATACCAAGAGATCCCTAACATTTATTGAGGATACTAAGAGATCCTCGGGATACCAAGAGATCCCTAGTATACATTGACGATACCGAGAGATCCTCGGGATACCAAGAGATCCCTAGTATACATTGACGATACCGAGAGATCCTCGGGATACCAAGAGATCCCTGGAATATATTGAGGATACTAAGAGATCCTCGGGATACTGAGAGATCCCCGGTTATCATCCTTGTCATGAGTGTACTTCCTGGTGTTTGCCATTATTTCGGTTTCCGTTATTGTATTCCTTATTATCCTGTATAGATTCTTACTGTAGATTTTCAACTGTACTGCTTATCTTATACTGTCTTGTCTCATATTCTCTATATTTATTTAATCTCAGTAGGGCTCTGACCTTCCTCGTCATTACCCAACAGAGGTTAGGCTTGACACTTACTGAGTACCGTTATGGTGTACTCATGCCTCTTCTACGCATGTTTTTCATGTGCATATCTAGGTACTTCTACTCAGGCCTACCATCCTTGAGAGAGGAGACTACGTAGAGACTTCGAGGTACATCTTCCACATCCACAGACCGAGGAGTCCCTTTCTATTCCTGCCTTTTAGTATTTTAGTCCTTCTGTATTTTATATTCTTGTTAGCCAAATTCCGGAGTTAGAGCTATGTAGTATTTCCTTTTCTTAGCTTGTGATTCATGGGTTTTCGGGTCTTGGATTTGGATATTGATTTTGAGATTTATATATTGTGTATGCCGAGCGGCACATTTAAATACTATTACTACTTTATTTCTGTTTTAAATTGTTTACTTCTGCAAATTTTGGTTTTTCTTCAGCAAATTAGGCTTACCTAGTCGTAGAGACTAGGTGCCATCACAAGGGTTCACGGAGGGCAAACCAGGGTCGTGACACAATGTAGTATATGATGAAATCATTCAAGCGTCTCTCTTGTGAATTAACAGTAACACTATGAGCAGTCACTTATTTGAGATTTGATGTACATCTGACTGATATCCTACAAAAGATTGATCCTCAACACCTACAAATTGGATTGATATCACATAGATGTTAACTGAGATGTCTCTGCATCTTGAATCCTTGCTTCACTAAAGATCCTAAAGGTGGAATACTACTTGAATATTGCACTAACTATCCGGCAAGTAATTTTTTTCTTGAATATACATTTAATACTTGAAACCTTGCTTTGATTAATAATTTTGCGTGTGCATCTATATGTTTACATGTTTGCCTGTTTCTGGACAGATTCCAATAGTATACCAAATAAAATTCTTCTTCTTCTTTAGCTGTTGGAAATATGATATCTTCTTATCTTCTCCAGAATGAATGAAAGATCTTGGCTTAGTTTCTGCAATGGAGATCTAAGATAAATTCGTTCAATATCAGCTTACTTCAGATAATATTCCACAAAACTACTTGATAATTCCAAGGTAAGTTTATTTTCTTAGTTTTAACATGTTATTTGACGAAATTTTCTAAATTGTTTGAGTTCTTTAGAAAAGAATGATATCTTAATATTTTCATTTTATCTTTTCAGTTTCCCTTAACTGTATAATTTCTTTTGCTGAATACTTCTGTAGGTCCTGAAGACATATTTGAAAAAAGAACTATTATTCTCGCAGCTTCTTGCCATTATTGGTTGCAATAATTCTACTAGCTTTAGGTTTGGGTGTCATTCAGTGTAGACATAAAAGAACAGAGAGTTCAATGCTAAAAAGGATAAAACAAAATATACTATTTTTGGTACTTGGCAACCATAACCAGATAATCAAATAGTATTCTTCTCTAATTGTTTAGTTTTCTTGTCAACTTTATGGTCTAAATTCTCTACTTGTATAAACATATTGCAGGAAAATTGACCCACAACCATAACAAAGATCATAACAGTTCATTGCTTGGTCTGCTTTCTACTTTGTCGCAACCATTTATAATTCTTGATCTGGGTGCAGAGCCTCAAGAAGTCAGACGTTTAGCATGCCAAATAGTAAGTACTACTGTGATAAATTCAAGGCTTTTTACGAGACTTAAGGGAATGTTTAACAATTCACTGCCACTAAAATATTGATAAACAAGATTTTTTTTCTTAGATGGAGTATTTATTATTGAACATCAGTAAACACTTTAAAGTTTATGTTATATAAACTACGTCATTGTAGGCAGGCTATACATGGGCAACAGCCAGCTAGACTACATTAGAAGTGCAAATTAACAAGTGAGACAAGCGGTCATTTTTCCTTCGAATTTAGTTACCTCAGTTTGTTATTTGTATAATATTTGTGTGTTTGCCAAAGCTACATTTTCAGACGGAAGCTAAAGGCTAAAGAGCTTCAACGCATCTTATGATAACTTATGATGGAGTCAAGCTATGATGGAGTCAAGGTAATGTCCAATAGATTGCCTTTATCTCAGATTTGCTGAGAAAGTAAATTAATTTCTTAAATTATCTTAGGACCAAGGTTTGCTAGCTATGATTATAATCATATTTATCTGTCTAATATAAATATTTATTGAATTTCTTCACTATTCAGATGAACAACAAGGTTTAAATGGACTCATTTGGTCATTTTTGGGCAATATTGATAACGACATCTTCTGCCAACTACGCTTTCACTCTATTAAGGTAAGTATATGAGTTTAAAAAAATTCTCACACTGCTACGTTCACGATATGGATAACTGTTCAATATGTTCTAATATGCTATTACTAAATGCTCCACCTTCAGATTGCAGTTATATTAAGCTGCCTTTGTTTAATATGCCTACTCAATTATGAGATGCTGCTACATACTCTATGCAATATACTTTTAAGTAGGGGTGTTCATAAACACCCGAAAAACCGAACCAAACCGAAAACTAAACCAAACCGAGCAAAAAAAACGATACTTTTTGGTTTGATTTGGTTTTGGTTTTGAATTTTAAAAACTGATCAAATTTGGTTTGGTTTTGGTTTTAATCAGAAAAAAACCGAACCAAACCGAAAACTAAACCAAACCGAGCAAAAAAAACGATACTTTTTGGTTTGATTTGGTTTTGGTTTTGAATTTTAAAAACTGATCAAATTTGGTTTGGTTTTGGTTTTAATCAGAAAAAAACCGAACCAAACCGACTATTGGAGAAGCTATTCCAAATTTATTATTACATCTATATATATTGTTATACAAAGTTTCAAAAAATTTATGGTAAATATTAATAGTTTGCACTTTTAGATCTTTACCTTTACATTCTAGTTTAATTGGTAGTTTTCTTTTGTTTAGTGTAAGAATCCATTTCATGTTAAAAATAACATATTTTTAATTGAGTCCTTAAATTATTCATCACTATTTGATTCAATTATCATCAATATATTTTGGTAAATAATAGATTGCTCAAAGGGCAATTGATTTGATATTGTTACATTGAAAATGTGGTCGCCGGAATATGTGTTTGGTAGTGTATGTCTTATATTTAAGAAAAAACCGACAAATAACCGAAAAAACCGAAAAACCGACATAAACCGAATCGAGAAAAACCGACTTAATTGGTTTGATTTGGTTCTAATATTTGAAAAACCGATCCAAACCGAACCATGAACACTCCTACTTTTAAGGGCCATGAGACAACTTAACTACCAGATAGACGAGCGTGTGAGCTCTAAGATTTTTTATATTCGGTGGAAGGCAGGTTGAAACTCTACCGCAAGCAAGTGAAAGTTGGATAACAAAGGCTAAAGTGTGCATGTAGTGAGATTTGAAAAAAAGAGCCACTTGTAACAACCTGATTACCTGGTAGTCAACGACAATGTATCAGTGCTCTTCTCTTAGGGCTCAAAACAGCTATGTCAGTAGTGGCAAGAGAAAGATCCATTACTCAAGTCCGATGTTTAACCTTCTTTGCCTTTCTAATAGAAACTTATGTTCTTTCATTAATTTTACTCTATCTATTTTTTGGTTTCTTACAGGCTTATTCTTGATTTTTGATTTTCTCTGTTTTTCTCTTGTAGATCACCACTTTTCTGATAGCAATAGGAGAACGGAGAATTGAAATTGAAGAGCTTTAGTATACGTTGCAGCTGAAAATGACTATGGAAACCTTAACAAATACTAACTCACCATCAGGAATAGTAAAGCTTCAAATTTTATGAAGTGCATCAGTGAGCTGTCATTTCGTCTATATCAAGAACAAGTATATGTTAGCTGACATTGGCAATCCCAATTTATAGTAATTTGTAGACTTTTTTTCTTTTTACTTAGCTTATTAACCAAAAACTCATGTGATTTCAGTTTGTTTTACCATGTTTGTCTCTTCCACTGACCTTTCAACAACAAAAAAATCCCAATGACAGAACTTCTTATGGTTGAAATCTTACGGCATGTGCTTAAATTTGTTCAGCTCATTTTGTCGTTGTTGCGATTAGTGTATTTACTTTTCCAATGTCTGTTTAATATGATAGTCGTTGTCTTTCTTTTACGTTGCTATGAATGGGTACAACTGCTAGAAGAAACAAAAGAATTCCTGAATGCCTTTACAGAACAATTAGTATTTTTATGGTATATCTTCACTACCCATTCAAAGATTGATGTCCTCAAAGTTGACATCTTATATAATGTTCTATATTAACCAGGAGTATTTTTATCATGCAGCTTCGTGATAGGACAGTTGACATCCTAAATAGTCTTTGCTAACTAGTCAGGCTCTGACTACATTTCATTCAGGTTAGTTTCATTTTTCGTAGTAATTCAATTACTTAAAATTTAATGGTGTCATACGAACATAATGAAGCTTGTAATGTGTATCTTTCGCATTATCCATTCTTAAACAAGTAAATATATATTTGACTTCTATTTCAATAAATTGCACCAGATCATGTTCTATTTTTCCTTTTGTTTTCCATTTTATTTTCAAAGTTTATCATTTCAGGGATGTCTCTTTTAGTTGTTTCAGTCATTAGATTCTACACCTCTGTTCCAACAAGCTTAGCATATTGAATCTTTTAGAAAAACGTTAACCTTTGTTTAGTTCTGTCATGGTGGTGCACACGAATTTGCCTAAAATATCCTACTTGATTGTTTCAAACCAGCAACTTCACAGTTGAATGTTCAGATTTGCTTGGAATGTTATGTGTGCCTAAAGTTGATATTTTTCTTTCTTTTTAGATTGCAATGAAAGTTTCTGAATTGCTTGTATGAGGTTCTAAAAATTTTCCTTGTAAGTTATGTGAACATAGGGAGATCAAACGGTTTCATTTGTTTTTTTAGTAAAAAAAATGCCAATGCTCCTACTGCAGATTAAATCAAAGATTGTGGCGCAAAGCAAAGCGGCAATACCCAAACTGTCATTACTATATCGATAACAATGATGTAAACTAATAAGTGTCCCTGTAAAAAAGTGTGTTCTTTTTCCCCTTAGTTCAAGATTAGGCCAGCAAATACATGTAGGATTGTTGTTAATCTGAAGGTGTCAACCTACCAAGTTTAGCCTTTTCATAGAATATGTTAATTAGTTACTCCAATTGCTAAATATTCTAATCTACATTGTTACACATCCTAATCGTGCTGGACAATTTACCTAGTGTTGCATTTGTTCTATGTACAACTAATTCAAGAGCATGAAGTTTATCAACTTCGTATTTTCTAGCACATGGAATGCAGATAATGTACATTGGCCTCTCAATTGGAAAAAATGGATATAAAGTGGATAAGTTCACCATTTTGTAACAAGTTACAAGGACTTTAGTTTAGATGTTTGTCAATCGATAGATCCTATCCCTGCTTCGGTTTCCATTACTACTGACCATTGTTGGAATCAGTATAACTTCTTGCTTTCTGTCAGAGCAACATATTTTATTTTTTGAGTACTACTGAAGGGTTAAATCACTTTTGGATTTACACTTATACTTCCGCGAAAATGAGGTAGCAAGTATAATTGCTCAGGAAATCGATACTTTAGCTCTAAACTGCCCCGTGCAACTGCTTTTGAATCTGCTGCTTCAAATAATCATAGAGGACATACGAAAACTTTACGGTTATTGGGCCCGGGCATAGCCCCGGCTAATCGTAACTAGTAAGTTTATAAACTAAAGTCAAACGCGTGAAATACATGAATAAACTTTTTACGTGACATGGTCAAAAGAGGTCTGTACTAGATACACTTTAGAAATGTTGCGTGTGTAATATTGGAATTTTTACATACCTATACACTATTGGAAACTTTATTACCCTCCCTACTCAAGTTTCAATTAAATTACATCCTATATACAAAATTACCAATTATATACACTTTAGGAATTAAATGAGTATCCCTTTATATTATGAATCAATTATTTCCCATTCTTATTCTCTCTCCCTCATGCGCGCTCACTCTCCTGCGCGCGCTCTCTCTCTCTCTCTCTACGTCTCTCTCTACCTCTCAATCTCTAATTCCAGTAATGTAAAGCAAAGGAAAAGAGAACAACAATTCCACCATTGACAGTCATTAAAAAAATTTGAACCTTTGAATTCGAAATGTGGGTTTTCAAAAAACATTATTTGTTTGAATTAGGTGTTGTTGCAAACAATTGAGAATTCTCTCTATCTCTCAATCCCTAATTCCAGTAATATAAAGAAAAGGAAAAAAGAGCATCAATTCCACCATTGACAGCCATTAAAAAGCTTTGAAGTTTTGAATTCGGAATTGAGTTTTCAAAAATCATTATTTGTTTGGATTGAATATTGTGCAAATAATTGGAAATATGGTTTGAAGTTTATATATCAATTTTGAGGGTATTTTGGTGAAGATTAGACTTGATTTTGACATAAGAAGAAGAAAATTTATAAAAAAAAGATATTGTATAAAATTTATATAAAAATTGTATTTAAGTTGTATGACATTGTAGTTGTATTTAAATGTGTATAAATAATGTATGAAAGTTGTAAATAAGTTGTAAATAAGTGTAAACTGTATATTTAGTTGTATGAATTTTATTTTTAGTATGTATGAAAGTTGTTGATAAATTATAAATAAGTTGTACATTATATAATTAGTTGTATAAAATTTATTTTTAGTTTATATGATATTGTAGATGTATCAAATTTGTATTAAAGCTTTACAGAATTTATTTTTTAATTTGTATGTTATACCATACAAATTTATCATCGCTCTGTTCCAATTCGTTGTGCTCTAAAAACAAAGACAAACTTGTTAGACAGTTTTCCGTGCATGTTGAGTAACTCATACTGAGAGTCCGAGTCTTGCGTTCCAACAACTTCACTGGTATGTTGAATGAAGAATGCTTTTCAAATTGGAGAGGAACGATGATTGAAGATGATTACTTGGAGTCAGGACGCCATATCCAACTTAGGTTCCTCCAACTTATCACACATGTGTAACCCACCCCAATATTAGAATGCACGCATACATCAAGAATGATAAGCTATCAAAGCAGCAAAGTAATATGATAAGCAATTCTGGGGGGAAAAAACATATGAAGGAATATACACAATCAAACAAATTAAAAAGAGAAAGTGATTACGAGAATGGCTTGCAAGCTATACGCACCTAAAGCAAAGAAGAAGGTGAAGATTGCAGAGAAGAGACTGCCGATGATTGCAAAAAAATAAGGAAAGAGAAGAGAAAAAAAAAGGAAAAGGGTGTAACTAAATCTCTTGATTGAAGGCACTAATAATGGATTGGGAGCCTTCTAAGGTGGAATGTATATATTTTGTGAACAAAACTTTTATAGGTCAGGTAAATAACAAAACATGGACAATTTTGGTAATAAAGTTTCCAATAATGTGTATGTATGTAAAAATCCCATATTTTATCGTCCACAAAAAGTGTGTATGGGGTATTTGGGTCATAGGTCAGGTGCCAACTTATGTATTTTGCCTAACTTTTTGTATAGCTTTTTTATAATAATGTGAGTTGCTGATTATTAAAAGTCAAAGATCGTTAAATCATTATTCCTGAATATTTACACCAAAAACATTAATATCAGCACCAACTGCTGGTCTTTGCGGGAAAAAAAAATTGCATCTTCTGCGGTCACAGCGTTACTGGTTGCCCCGTCAGAATCACTTACATGAGAGATGGTATGATACATCACACCAGTCACCAGAGGTTTTCTGTTCAGTTCTCACAAGTTTTGAAGCGGCAGTGACATAAATGTGTCTAGTTGAATATTATTTTATTTGAGAAGATATTATCCAAGCTACTCACAACGAAGAAATGACATACAAAAAAGGAGCAAAATGTCATTATCCTCACTACGTGCAAGATAAATTCTGTTTTCCAGTCCACCACTAAAACCAGATCGAATTCCATAACCCAACAACTAAAACCAGGGGAAATGACGATCCATCTTCAGGTATACCATTTTCCAGGCTAAATGGCCAAAATGTTACATCAAAACTACAGATGGCACCTTCAGATGCCAAAGTAATATCTACACTAGTTAATGTACTCACAATTTTAGAGTACCCTAACTATGAAATAATTAGACAAAAGGCATATGATACAATCTAACAATTTGCTGCTCAACTATACAAATTCTACATGGTTATAGGGCTTCATATAAGAACTAAAATGCCGAGGGCTCAACATTTGCCTTGTTTCCAGCAAGAATGAGAGAGATCTCCAGACCACGACTGAATGCTTGGTTAAAGAGTATACGTGACTGGAAGGTAGAGACAAATGGGAACCACGATAATATTGCCACCGGAGCAAAGATAATGATGCCCATCCCAGCATCATACATTCTAGCAAATTCCTTTACAGATTCCCACAGACCCAAACTCCACACTACCCTCCTCCATGTGATTGCCAGCTGCAATTACAATTTGCAATTTTAGGAACAAAAGAGAATCTGTATATGTAAAACATACTCACGTATTATCCTACAAAACAGTCACAATCACATATAGGATATGTTTAGTTACTTCCTCGCCAGGATACAAAAAAATTAGCATATAGAAAGATGGCAACACTTGAGATAAAATAGAAAGAGCGTGGCGGGTAGGAGGTGGAACCAGGTTTTGCAATGACTGCAATATGAATTCACGTATGATGCAACGGCCAAAAACTGAAAAATTACAACCTCCATGACATGCATATGCGAATATACGCTAGGAAAAATCTTAAAAAGGGCCATCAAATTCAACGAAAGACTTGGTTTTACATTCCAACAGGATGATAGTGGGAATTCGCAACTGCAGATATGAGCTCAAGCATGCTACAACAATTTTGACACAAACTATTCCGACCTGCCAATAGTAACTAAAGAAGATACTTTTTTAACACCATACAGAAACAAATAAAGATAAGAAGGAATCTTCTCCGCAGTAAATTGTGAAAATTGTCGTAAGAAAATCAAAAAGCTTTTCAGACAGCACAAAGAATTCAAAAGCAACCATGAGCTAGCAAACTTACACAAAGGACGGCCCAACCAGTAGCAACAAAGGCGAGCACACTAGCAAACAAATCAGGAACAGATAGGTCAGTAAGAGCCACAACGAGGCAAAGAGCTGCAACAAGTCCCAAAGCTGTAACTCCTTGAAAAAATCGCAGCATGAGATGGATGTTGGTGGACTTTTTAGGACTGAAGGTAAAGATCTGCAATTTGACAAATTCCAAGATTATTAAAAAAGTAAGGGGGATTGCAGTTACATTAGACTCCATAAGTAAGCCCATAACATCAAAGACAGATGCATACCTTGAAAATCATCACAATTCCCACCAGTACAATCCAAGAAAAGCCATATATCTAGTAGAACAAAGGGTTTCAATTAGTGTGGTCTTTAGAAGAGAACAAAACCAACAGAACACATATAGTAGCACTCAACATCCACACACAAAGTAACACCATAGCATCACTAAATCCGAGAACAATATTAAACATTCAAAAATTGGCAAAACTCGACGGAATACGACATTCTTCTGTATCATAGTATTGTTTTCTCGCATCATATATCAGTCAAAAGCAGTATTCCTGCTGGAATATTTTGGCATATAAACTCAGTTTCTCAGGTCAGTTCTTACATCTTCTTTCACTGATATCTAAGTTCTTTCACTTATTCATCAAACCGTTGTAGAAAACTTGTTTATATGTTTCCCATCTATCTGACAAACTGAATAAAGAATTAGTAGAATACCTTCTGTTCTTCACTATCTCTCATGAAATGTAAGAAATAGATGAAGAGAAAGTTAAAATTAAAAGAACGATTCCAAGCATGGTAGCTCCCATTACCTACTATTTCAATAGTCAGATAACCTAATACAAGTATTTATTCTTTGCCCCAAAGGAAAAAAAAACAAAATGAAGCGTCAGTGATCCAGGAAACAAACAAATTTGACAAAGCCAATTGCACGCCCAAGCGCACACGACCTGGATTTTTCGCACTGAGACAATATACAAGTTCAATACTAGAATTACTTTTGCATAAGAAAGATCGTTTACCATGAACTATGTGCTTTATTTTCCAAGGCTATACACTCAATTTATTCACATAAAAGGCAACAAAAGTAAGCCCAATTATAAGCAACATTCTTCTGTTAAAATTAAGGAATACCTACTGTTGTGCTACAAAGAAATTGGCTCTTTCCACGAAGAGAATACTAATGTTTGTCTCAGTATGCAAATAATGCAGAAAACATACCGCAAGAGAGGTGTCCTTTCCAGTCAAATGGAGTTTATAGACAATGCCATACTGGAAGACAAAAAATCTGAGACTCAATATTGTTTCTAGTATCCGTCCTCTCAAAGTCTGGATATGAATCTGCAATATAAAAATCTTACAGTGTTAGAAAGAGCATTTTCCAGAACTCCCTTTCTTCCTTTCCTTTTCATTTCAGTTTCTTTTGGATTTTTTTTTTT